AATTGAGAGAGCCAGGCCTGTTCGGGTGTAGCCACGCGCAGGGATCACAATTTGCCTGCTGCTTCAGCATTTGCAGCGCTGCTCTGATCTCCATTGCATTGCTTGGCCATGTGTTGTTGCTCACCTCTGCTGCACCCAGGGCTCATGCCCGGCAGGTCCTCCTTACAAACACGGCACTGAATACGCTTCCGCTCGGCTATTGGGTCCAGTGCCTTGCAGAGGCTGTCGATGGAGGAGTGAGACTTGAACTCGTCCTCCTTCAAAAACTTATGTATTTTCTGCAAAAGTTTGGGTTTTGGTGTGCAAGTTGCTCCTGCGCTGGAGCCACGCAGCCTTGCCAATGCATTGCGAGGGAGTGTCTGACACTGTGCCTTCACCTAACATCACCCTGCTGTCACAGCCTCTGCGATGCAGCATTGCCCAAGGGACAGAACATCCTGCAGGCACCTGTCGCAGCATTAGTGCCTGTCTCTAGCAGTAGCTCTTTTTGCACGGTCCTGCGCAACACTGACTCTCATCTTAGACAGGAATAACACCTATCTTGGTCAAAAACGCCACTTGTCCAGAAAACAAAAAGTAACACTTACTTGCAGAAGAACGACAACAGAGGCGGCAAAGAGGGTCCGGGGAAGCTTCAGGAGGCATGAATTTATGGCCGTCCAGAGAGTACCTCTATGGGCCGGGATAATCGTTGGTCTTTGGGACTTGAAGGGAGCTGCCATTCCTGCGACTCACAGACCCAAGCACAAACATAATCACAGCTGTTTCCAAATCTCAAACGGTCCGCCTGAATTTGTATTTCTGGACAACGATTTGGGCCTCTCAATCCTCCTGGAACGCACTCTCTGCTGTGAGTCCTCTGCAGGATAAGTGCTTTCTTGACTGAGATAGGGGACATGTTTGTTTAAGAGAAGTGTCAGTTTGGAGGCATTCACTAGAAGAGAACAGTCATTTCGTTGGAACATAAGTGAATTCTACATACAGATACCTGCTGGTGGTATAACAGAATCGTACCCACAACGGAGACATCTGTTCCAGCCCCCTGCCCCGTTGCAAGTCGTGCCTGGCGATCGAAGGCCACCGGGCTGAACGCTTTCGGTGCTGTTCAGATCTGCCCTCTGCTCCCTACAACGCGGCTTCGGCGGCAGGAAACGCATGCAGTCTGCAGCATCGGCAAAGACTCCTAAACATTGGGCCTGGTTAGCCTGGAACGCTCTTGACAGGATTCGGACTCTGCCAGCCCCCTACAGTTCGGGATTTCTGGAGATCCGTTACAATCTACCGGCACAGCCCCGAAGCACCATCCCAGTTGGCACAGGCGTGGATGGGGAGGGGCCGACGGTCTGGGTTCAGCAAGACCGCTCAGTCTCAGAACCTGCCGTGACATGAGTTTGCAACTGCCACTTGTGCTGTTGCTGTGTGCTAGTGCAAAGGTTCTGGACTGTTCGTTGTTCAGATCGGTTTCCAAGGCACCATCTTCGGGGCCTTGGAACAAGACTAGGACTAGGATCCTCATGTCCTCATCTCCCGCAGCCACCAAAATAGTAACACGACAGGATCTTGGTGAGCTTGACTCGGGTTCAGCCAAGACTGGGGTTGGAGGAGTGCGCGCCAGTCCGCTCCCCAGCACGCACAGGTGCGACCAAGAAACATAACTAGAAAGCAAACAACGAGAAACATCAACACAGCACTCAGCAAACCGCAGCAACAAGTAACAGGAGTGACACAAGCAAACCTCACAAGATCTCACAACCGCGCCCTCACAACCGTGTTGTATTACTCCACATTTGCTGGCTCTCTGGAGCTTTAACTCACTATCGGTGCTCATCTTTTCTACTTTGTCAGAGCCTTTGTTGAATTTACCGTGCCTCAATTTGTGAGAATCTTCTTTGACTGCCTTCTGTTGCCCGGTCATAGTCTCTCGGATGCGCTTGTACCTTCCCCTTTTGTTTGATTTTTGCGGCTGGAGATCGTATCGTGTTTTGCGCTACTTTTCAAGCCGACTGTGTGTCAGATGTGTGCTTGTTGCTCTTGGCAAGCTGGACCAACTTCAAGTGCCAGGCCAGCTAGTTCACCAACGCTCTTCTTGTTAGTGTTACAAGCCTACAGACCTAAATAACCGGATTGTGTCGCCTTGGCATGGTTCTCCTAGGTTGTTGTTGCTGGTACGAGTGTCGGTCTCCAGGGTGTCGCGTGTTATGAAACCTTTTAACTACTTTTACCTTTTCTCTGCTGATGAGATACGTCATGGCTCCTCAGCGGTGAGACGGCTTGTGCGACGGCCTTGTGTGCACCATTGTTTGGCGTCTTAGTGTGAGGCCATGTCGGATTTGGCTTTGTACATTGGCTGAGGCCAGTCATGGCAAGATGCCACCAGTGGCGGCTGGTGGTGCCTTTGGACGAATACTTCACCTGCGGGAACACGTGGCGCAGCACATGCAAAATCATGCAAAGTACTACAGCACACGGACCAACGTCACTATCTAAAGATTCGAAAGCCGATTCGGCTCCGATCGCGATTCGGATTCAAAGACGGAGCGCTGCTTGGCAGTGCCCTCCTCACTAGTCCTCCAAGGCCGAGCAGTCTTTGAAAGCACCGCCCTTCTGCCAGTGCGCCTCACCGCGACTCATCGTTCTGGAATTGGGTCTAGGGGCTGGATACCGGTCTTGCTGTAAGTCGCACCTCGACGGAGAGCGTGAACTGCGCTTGCTGGATTCCAAGAAGCTTTAGGACCTGCGACACCCAGGCCATGCCAGGCCAAGCAAAGCACCTTGCGCACTTCCCTCACCGTGACTCACCGTACCTGCGCTGCATCTGCGGAGAGCTCCTGCCACCATAACGATGGAAAGCTGCGCTCACCTTGTTCTGCCCCCACTTCCCCCCCAGGTGTCCTTGCCAGCCGTACATACGGTATGGTCCCCCAGCAGGTGGATCTTGGCCTTCGTTGAACCGACGCGTCGATTCTGCTCTGAATCCGGACCGGCTGATTCTTCACTCGGCTGCTAATGCTCAGAGCCGTGTCGTCTCACTTTGATCCACATCACAGGTACCAGCGCTGCTTCAAGAGTTTCGGTGGCAAAACAGATCTGCACCTCCTTGAGAACCGTCGGAAGGCCCAGCTGCCTCAGATGGGCCTGGCAGTTTGTAGTTCCAAAGCAATTTTCACGTTTGCTGAGATCGTCGGAGGCATGCATCTCGTGCCAGGATATTTCGGAACGCGGAAAGGCTTCTTCGTCCGTACATGTATTGATGCACGACAGCCCTGCAATTTTGTGCACCATGTCACAGTAGGGCACTTAGATCATCATCAGCATCACCATCATCATCATAGCAGATAAAGAACAACGCATCGAGGCTGCACGCTCGTCGCTCGTGATTTCCGTTCAGCCCGGTCCCAGAGGCAAAGTCTGAGGTCATGCGAGTAGGATGGGCACAAACAGTTCATGGAAGATTCGTCAAGCTCCAAAGCTTTCTGCGTTATCACTTGTGGGGTGATTAAGGCTTCCTGGTGAGGCACATCTGTATTCAATCGGTGTGGTCTTGACCTGGACTTCGACTTTTCAAGACTCCAGGGTGAGCTTAGCCTCAGAACTCAAGGACGTGTGTTCAAGCAAGGCCGTGGCACCCACCAATGCCAATCAACGAAACAAGGAACGGCATTAGCCTTCAAACGAACATTGACTCACTCAGACGAAGAGACAGCTGGCATCTTGCATTTTGCTGTTTAAACTAAGTAAAAGAACTCATAGGCCCCACCAACACAGAGACAACTAACACTGCCCAGACACCATTTCAGAGATTCATTCATGACTCAGAAATTTTGATCTGCCAGCCATCCTAAGCATGGCAGGGACGTCTTATCGGGCTCGGTCCGATCATGCCGGGCTTCTGAAATCCCACCGATGCATCAACGAAGTCCGAAGCTTGTCAGTTACTCTGTGCCAAGATGATCCTACCAGGACTTGAAGCATGACAAAAGCTGCCGGGCTCTGGGGCCTGCTGTGAATGTGTTCTCAGACTATCAACTTGACCGAAATCGTCCATAAAACACCCGAAAGTGCGACTTCCTCTTGCCCCAAACCTGTAAAGAACTCCTCCTGAAGGACGGTGTAAACCACGAACCAACTGAGTTTACCGTGCAGGTCCCAAGGATGGCAATAGGAAGCTCGCATGTAGCTTCTCTTCCGAAATTGCTGTGAGTTCCAGCTCGGAGTAAGATACCCAAACTGTCGGAGGGCCACGGTTTGTGCGGTGGGGCCAAAGATGGCCAAAGACAAGGAAGATCGAGAGGCCGATTGAGGAGGTTGGTTAGCAAAGCCCATGGCATAGCCGCCCTCCTCAGAACAGAAAAGTGCTGTTGACTCTGTACTATGAGGCCTGCCATCCTGGCTTCCAACCAGGTGGCAGGGCAGTGAAGCGTAACTGATATGGGTGTGCATGGGGCTGCTGCTCTGCTGGGTGATCGAGCATCGGAAACAGCCCCCGTTGCGATGCGCACAGCCGTGCGTTTACTAAGGCGGGCTAGCAGTTCCTGGAAGACAATAGGCTGACTATCCTCGGAAGAGGGGACAGACTCAAAGTTCGATGCTGTCGTCCAGCTCTGAATCGACCCTGCCCCTCCCAGATACACGGTCGCTTCGGCTTTATCTTGAACAGCTTTGTAAACCTCGTACGAGGACATTTCATCGCCGTCTCCGCTTCTTTATGCCCTCGCACTCCGTCACCTCGATGGAGTGCGGCAGGCTCGCGAGCGCATCGGTCCCTGCAGTCAGCAGAGCACTGATGCGAAATCTGTTAACAAAAGGCTCGCCTTTTGGCAGCACCACCGTGTCAGTTGCCAGAGAGCCACTCCGTGCAAAATCCTCGGCCCAGCCGCAACGAGACATCCCACCGCAGCAAAATGATGCAATGCGACAGCTGGCTCAGGCTACCGCGCTGGGCCGATAGGCTGCAAAAGCTGCTTCCACCTGTGATACACCGGTACATCAGGAAAGCAAGACTACCACGCAACGTGCACCTCTTCGGGCGTCGAGTTTGTGAAGAGCAGAGCCTCGGATGTACAGGTCGGTGCTGATGCTCGGATTGGAAGCATGTGTAAGTCCGCAACACAATGACCACTAATCATTTCTGCAATCTTATGTACGTTGTCCTGCTGGAGATGTGGATTTGACACACATGGAATGGAAGTGGGGGGATGGCTCTGCACCAGGCTCTCCTGGCACTCGCTTTCAGGGCTCATACCTAGGGCAGTCTGCATGACCTGCCATCATGGGCAGTTCAGACGCACTGCATCTGCCAAAACGGTGCCGATCCGTTGCCTTGTTCTTGGCGCAAACCAGCTTTCCGGGTCTGAGACGTTTTCTAATCTCCTGTTGGTCTGCATTCCGCTAATGGGAACCCTCTTCAAAGGCTGGCTGCCGTCCTGCATGAACTGATTGCGCTCATTTTCGATGGAAACCAAGAAAAGCCTGGAGAACTCCTCGCAGGACCTCCAGCAGAAGAGGACTTCTCAGAGGCAAGGCCCCTGAGCTACACTGTCTGCGCGTGCTCTGCAGCTGGGTGAGCGACTCACGGATGCCATCGATGAGCTCGTCCTTCTTTTCCTGCTGCAGTGTGGACGTGAATTGGCATGGACCTGTTGGAGAGGCTGCAAGGACAGTCCACGACCTTCGGTCTTTTCTTGACCTTGGTCAAGGTGATGACCTTGTTCCTTTTTGACCTCAAGTTTGAGGTTTAGTTAGCAGGAAAGCCACAACAAATTGAACCCAGCCACTTCAAAAGTGTTTCTGAACAAACAACGAAAGATTTTCGCTGGAGAGGATTTCTGGAGTCTTTGTCTGGGTCGACTGTTAGATCGGAAAATCCGCATCCTGGCTCAAGCCGTGAGATGCGCATGTCTGAACAACCTCTGTACAAATGCCTACGTCACTATACCTCTCTTCAGACCGGAACGAAGAAATCGTAGGGATCATGATTCATGACCATGCATGCCAAACCAAACGGTCTGAGAGAGGCTTAAACACTGTCACTGTCGTCAAGGCTGCACAGTTCACCTCTGCGGCCTGCATCGAGCTCAATTCGACTCCAAAGGTACTTTGGCTAAAGCACGGTTGCTGATCTGGCCCTGCCTTAGGGCATGGCCAGATCCTTCTCCACCTTGAACTTCTTCATAAGTTCCTTGACCTTGCCAGACTTCTTTGCCTTGCATAGTGGTATGCTCTGGCTGTCGCATAACCGAAACAGCTCGCTCGTGCGACCGTCGAGAAGCCTCTTCGATGAACTCGCTGAGCAGCTTGAAACCCTGCTCCCGGCCTGGACAGCTCTGCGTTAAGCAAAGAGGTTGAAAAGAAGCCGCAAGCTCTCTGTCACGGCTGCAGCTGTCCGACTAGAAACTGTGCAGAAACCCGGCAGGGATTTGCAATGCCGTCACCCTGCCTTTCTTCGTGGCGGCGGCCTGCTCAACAGCCATGAACTTTCCAGGGAGCAGACGCGTGCCTGCCACTGAGCAGCCCTCAACCCGGCTCAAAGGCACAACAGTGTACACATCTTCCGCCTTGCTCCCGCCTGGTCGCTTGGCACCATCCTTCTTCAGCTTTGGTCGTAACCCGGCAACTGCTTCCATTGCCGTCTCTTTGAACTGCTCGTACCTGCATCCCCTACACCCTGCTCGACGACTGTACACAAATCTGCCCTGCAGGGTTTGGAAATCTTCCATTCTCAGACTAGTGTCGTGGCATCGTGGCCCTTGATTTTCTCGAGAGTGGCATTTTTGAGGTTGCGCTCTAGCCACAGGACCTTGGAGTAGAGAAGAAGCAAAGGTACAAGATGCAGGGAAAGGGTGCCCTGGTGCCACCATCTCCGACCCCTGCATGATTGCGGACCAGTAACATAAGCTGCCCCTTCACAACCAGCAATTCTCACACCGGCTTTGTCCACTTCGGCACAAGTGCGAAGACCTGCTCAAATCACTCATGCAGTCTTGAGCCGCTTAACCCGGTTGCGCAAGCGAGTCAAGATCTGCAGCAAGGCACAAGTCATGCAAGTCCTGGTAAACTATGCATGGGACACAGCTCATGCAACACGCCGTCTGCAAGCAGTCCCGAAGACCTGAAGTGGTTGGCACTGCCTTAGATGGAATCAGTCTGGGTTCAAGGGCGTGCAACCAAGCAGGCAGCGCAAAACGCCAAACATGCAGCTAGAATGCGTAGGTGGCCTCGATCTGGCAGTAAGGAGCAGTAAATTCAATGAACTCTGCTCGGGCCGGATCAGCACCAATCATCGCCACGTCCCACTTGTCTTCCTTCCTGAGGTTGGGATGTTGAGTATTGATGAGTGCTGCAGGATGCCTTAAGCGCCGTGGTAGAAGGTTGCTCAGGCTCCGTCGCATCATCAGCCAGCTTGTCAGCAGACTCGTAAGGAACGAACCTTTGTAAATCCCGAAAGCCAGCCTTTAGAACAGCTGCAACAGCTTTGCAATCACAGTTGGCCGGTGTCAGCAGCCGTGGGATCCGGACGACCCTTGCTACTAACTAGCTTGAAGCATCTTCAGTGCAAAGGTACCTTCGTGTCCAACCAGCATGGCGGCCATGCTTTTAAGACTCCGACTAGGAGAATCCCGGACCCTAGTCATTAGCCTAAGCAAGCATTCCAGGGAGTACCAAACGCTTCGTCGAAGATACTCCACGGGAACTCCGAGCTTCTCGGCAAATGCTGCACCCATAGATGGCGCCAAGCCCTGCAGGGCTGCTCACACCAGACTTACACAATTTGATTGCTGCGCACAAAATACGTACGAGCCATGGAACGAAATTCAAGACAGAATGTCACTCCGCAGCAGGCGACTCCAAACCGTGCTGACAAGTGAAGCACTTGCGCCTCTGGCTCGCCGCTGGCGGACTTGCCACTTACCAAAAGCTCGTTTCGCCTCGACAGAACTCGATTCATTTTCGGTGTCCATCGTCTCAAACCAAACGAGGCTTGTGATCAGCACAGCAACGGTACAAGAACCACCGGCAACAATGCCAGATGGGCTCTGTTGCTGGCAGCAGACAGAAACTGAGCGTGCTGCATGTTCAGAGCAACACGGAGTTTTCCTGTTGGTGCCATCTCCTTCGAACTGATGTTGCATAAGGCTGGAACAGGAGCATATGGCTGGTGTGACTCCCAAGCAAAAAGCCTTGACGACATCTGGTGGCGCCGCACAGGCTGCCGCCAGGACTTGCCGCGCCAGGACTTGTGCACGGTGCATGGTAGCCAATGGTAGCTGGTCGCCCAGCTTGGGCTTTAAGCGAGCCACAAGTCTGCTGGTCGGCGCAGTGCAACATGCAACTGAAAACAGGTGGACAGCTCCTTAGCCGGCTTCGTTTGCAATCCCTCAGCTCCAGACTTTGGCATGGCACAGTTCCGGCAAAACCGCCGCTTGAACCGGAGCTACGGGCATTAAAGCAGACATGGACGGTGGCCCACCCGGCGAAACGACTGCCGTCTCAAATCCGCGCCCCCATACATTTGTTTCTGTTACACACCAGGCTGTAATTGTCGCCATGCTATCTACATTGGTTAGTCTTTTTCGTTGCGTATGCAATGCAAGGCGACGATAGCTGTTTCACTGTGTACAACCTTGAAGGTGCTGCTGATGCTCACCGACTCGCTGATTTCTCGACCAAGTGAACGCATGAAGTATCAGCCTTCTTGGCGACGGTAGGAGCAGCTTTCCATGCCTGATTTCTGCTGTCTCAACCACCATAGCACACTTTGAGTCCGCATTCGACGGGACCCCGAGATGGAGCTATGACTTATTGGCTTGTGCGGCCTGACTGTCTCCAACTCAAATCCTCGTAGGTTCAATTTCGGAGCCTGAGGGATTGGATTGGAGTGCAAGGAGCGCCCTTGCTCGAGGAAGCCGGAGTTTGCTGAACCGAATCGGGCCATCGATACTCGCAGGTTACTCCTGCGGACATGTGTTGCGACGATGGGCTGAAGCTCGATGCTTCAATGCCTTCTTGCGATAGTAGTACAGTAGTATGCATCAATCTTGCAAAGGGTGTGGCCAAGCATCTCGCTGAAAATGCTGAATCCGTGGCCGAATCCTAAGTTGCTGCACGCTGACTTGTTCCTTCTGCAGACGGGCTCAGGCAAGACTTGTTTATTCAGCACTCGGTAACAGTTTGCTGAAGTAGGAAGAGGGCCACATCAAGATAAAAATTTGCACGAGTATGTTTACAAGTTGTGCGTGACGTGAGCAACGCGCTTCCAGTACTTGATCAAAATACCCGCCACGCATACCAGCCACATGTTATACTTCCCTCTAACGAATCTAACGATGGGGTACGGCCCTACGAGGAAAGGTTTGCGGTCTACCAACGAATACCCAACATCCGGACCGCGGCCAAACTCCCAAATTTCACGACTTACGGGCAGTGATTGCTGCGCCAAGGGATGCTCGTGGGGCAGATTTCTGCCAAGGTAACATCGTCCAATGCGAAAACCGATGAAGGTCTCGGATCCCAGGACATCTACGCTGACCATGAAGACCTCTGACGAGTTCGAAGCCGCGAGTGCTTGCTTTTAACTCAAGCCGCGCAGAAATCTGCCGCTGTGCCACAGGACCACAAGTCCGACAACAAGCGCAGTCTCTAAACACCATGCTCCACTATGGCTGAGCAGCCAAGTAGTACACAGCGGCACAGCGTCAGATGCCCAGCAAAGCATCGTGGTAGGCGGCGAGGCCTTCTTCGAGTGTTTCGGCCGATGTGCTGTAAGCTCACAAGACAGGTTTAGGGAGGTGCTTGCCTAGTGTTTCTTCGCCATTCCCACCGTTTGCCTCGAGTGCAGCGAAGAGACACAGGGCAGCGAACATTCAGTTTCGGCACTCGCAAGTCGCACACACGATGCCTCTGCTCTGGCTGTGGCCGTCTCCGGCTCCATCACAGCTTCCCCTCCCAAATCTCCCAATAACAAAATAATCGCAATCGGTATGGCCCTCGACATGCAGCGCTGACCTGGGCCTTTCTCCTCGGCTCCGCGTCGCGGTCTCCGCCTCTGCCGTTTCCACGGAGCCTCGTTGCTCGTTGAGGGCTCCGACGAAGGCTTCGCAGAGAGCAGAGAGGCAAAGGAGTGGCAGAGGGCCTCGGCGTCGTCGCCGTCGGCTCCCTCAGATCTTGTCACGTCCCGAATCCGAAGCACTTTCAAATTTCCCAGGGGCCAGCCTCGGCATCCTCACCGGAGGCCTGGCTCTCTTTCCACTCTCTCGTGACTCTGGTGCCGGCGCTGGGATCCTACTTCGGGAAAGCACTCTGCAAGCGCAGTTTTTGCCACAAATTTGGACGCCTTCACGTCGCAGCTTCACTGAGGACTTTCGGAGGGATGGTTGCATTGGTTTTAGGTTTGAAGTGTGTTGAGGGGTCCGTAAGGGAGATTGACAGAATTCATGTCCGGGGTGGAGGCGTGTACGGCGCGTACCGGACCACCGCTCTCAGACAGTCGCCGCTGTGCAAAGCCTCGATCGCTTGCTTCTGACCTGCCGAATACGACAAGATGAGTGCCAGGATGAAAGTGACAAGCGGTGCATTGAGTGCGTGCCTTGCATGCCTTCAAACCTATGAGTGATGAAGTGGTCGAGGGTGATTTCGCCTTTCATGGCCTGCACAAGCCAGAATATTGTGAACAAGCTGGTAACTGCGCCCAGAAAGCAGTGCGAGAGAAGGAAGAGAGGGAGGGCGAGAAAGAGAGGGAGAGAGACAGAGAGACACAGACACAGAGAGAGAGAGAGAGAGACAGAGAGAGAGAGAGAGCGCTCGGACGCTCTGCCCGTGCTCGCCTGCCCTCCTCGGAGGAGCGTCGCCAGGCTGCCCGCTGTGGGAGCACCGGCC